GAGTTGTCTAGTCATAAAAACAGAGACACAAACAAAACGCATGCATCGAGTCAAGAAGATCCAACATTTAACATCCTAAACTGGAATCAATGTATTAAAAATGTATCTGTGCCAGCCTAATAGATAAAAACGGGTGCGAGGCTAGACAGATAGAATCTGTTTACCCCGTAAGGCGAGACAGATAGAATCTGTTTACCCCGTAAACCTTTGCCTAGGAAGCCTTCTACAATACAGAAGCCGGATGCATTTAACATCTGCCCAAGATGAGTATTTTTATCGAGACACCATCTTTAGCCTTTAACCTCCGACATAAAAAACCCCCTGCCTTGGGGCCAAGAGCCCCAAGGCAGGGGGTTTTTTATGTCGGAGGTTGCCTTTGCCTAAAAAAGCGTATCCTACAAGGCAGCAGGACACGAAGCAGATTAGGATAAATGTTACCAGTAACATGATTAACCTGGCCTAAAAACAATGACTTATATGCATGTATATTCATTAGGTTAAAACTGTCATACAGTTTAAACTAGTAAATTAAACTAATTTGCAATCCAGATAATCAAAATTCTTTGAAAACAAAGTTAAAAAATCTGATACTGAATCTAAACAGATATTTTGAATTCTTCTAAGACTATAAATTAAATTATACATTGACTACAAAGTGAACTGACTTGTTTATGTGTATCATTTAAATGACTCTTACCTTTCTCAAACAATGTATAAAAAAATTGTTTATTACACAGAAAAAAAAAACACTTGATTTTTTTCTTATCAATTTTAGTTATGCTGCTTGTTATGTTTAATTTTTTATCCTGAGCTTATTTTGAGTTTTTTTTTTTATTATGACTTTTAATTTAAAGACTATATAAAAAAAAAGTTGTACTTAATATATAATTATATTTAACATAATCATAATATATACCAATCACATTGTAACAACTTCGTGATAAGATCATTACGATCTTCTTGAAGTACGGCCCATACTTTTTAATCATAACTTTAATTATATATTTTGAGACTTGTAATTATTACACCTTTAGTTTACGAAACTTGTACATGTACGGCAAAATATAAGAATAAAAAAAAAATAAATAAATAAAGGATTATTAAAATTTATGATTTAAGTATAAATTTACTTAAAATAAAAAGTTTGATTCTTACCTAATACTTGTTTTAAGTAAATAATTAGCTAAAATAAGAATTTAAGGTGGTACTACCCTATTTTTTTTATTTTTCAAAATATGATATTTTTCTTAAAATGATGAACATTTTTCGAAAAACTGAGTATCATTAAACATCATTTTTTTTACTTATTTGTCATAAAAAATTTTGCTGAATCAGCAAAAACAAGCAAAAAACATGCGGTCACAAGAACATAAATAACTTGAGTAATATTTGAGATAAAAGCTTTAAAATGTTTGGTCGAGGCCACTTAGTAAAAAATTTTAAAACTACAGAGCCAAAATAAAATGGCAGATATTAACCTGTAAAATCATAAAAAATGGTCAGTGGGGTATTTAAAATTTTAAATTCTGGTCAAAATAAAAAATATTTTTTGATCATTCAACTACCAGCCCTTTCTGCAACATCAATGATCAAACTGTAAAAATTTCAAAAAAAAAGAGTAAATCGTTTCTGAGATAAATGTTCTAATTTAAAAATATTTGAAATTATTACCCATACAAGAAAAATGTGAAATTATTACCCATTTAGATCAAGAAAATTTACTAAATAAAAAATCTGAACTAATTTCTAAATGTAGACATGAAAATAAGTTCCTTTTAAAAAATTATAAAAAAAATTATCCTAATACTTTTCATGATTTTTTTAATTTTCAAATCTAGTTGATGCAACTTCCTGGTCGCAAAATAACTACAGTTATTACATAATTAATTATATCAATTTCCAGCTTCCTGTGAATTATTTTTTCTATAATTTGAATGTTTAGACATTCTTATGATGAACCTACTGATGGTGAAACACGGTGTTGAAGAAAAACTTAAATAAGTGTTTTTACTAATTTATTTTTACTCTGGTCTTTAAGAACATTGAGCACTCTGTCTTTAGAATACACTAAAATAATTTATATATATATATATATATATATATATATATATATATATATATATATATATATATATATATATATATATATATATACATATATATATATATGTATATATATATATATATATATATATACATATATACATACATATATACATATATATATATATATATATATATATATATATATATATATATATATATATATATATAATATTGCATTTTAAAAAAAAGTATTTAAAAGAAATGAATCAGACGACACTGGTGCAGTCATTATTTTATATAGTAAATTTAAAAACGCAAACACCTAAAACTTTCAATTGTAAGATTCTAGAAAGTATAAGACATACATCTTATTAATTATAGAAAATTTTTTTACTGGCAATGACTCCATCCTTCTAGAGTTATGTTAGAAAGCTGGAAACATTTACAAAGAAATCTTGACAGATTTCTTGGTAAAGGTGAGAAGATATATATTAGAAAAGCAAAAGTTTAGAAAATCTACTCTCACCAAAAAATATATTACAGTATTAACTATTCTTCTTTTTGTTTTAAAAGGTTTAAAAATCGCAACAGAAACCAAGCTTAACTTTTTTCTGAGTTGTGTCGGCTGGGAATAAATAAAAAAAAAGTTTTTTTTTAATTTCTCATTCTAATAATATTTTTGTATGTTAACAAGCTGGTCCTATATGTTTTTTTTAGAATTGTAAATTAACAAAAGCCTTTATAAATCCAAGTTTGAAGAGGGGAAGCTGTTCTAAAGAAAGTTATCCAATAGCAATCTGTTCATCCGCCTATAATGAATAGCCTATGAATATTATTATTAATGCGCATAGTTACGCGTATTGTTTTATAGTTACGGTACGGTTCTGTATCTGTAAAATACACTTTTTAAGTAGTTTCTAGACTTTTCTTAACTGCGTGCTTACTTACAGATTTCCCTTCAACCTTTCATGGTACGAGTTCAAAATGTCTAAGTTGACATTAAGTAGATAATGTTTAGTAGCTTAAAATTATAGGTAATCTAAATTTTTTTTTAAATTTAAAAGTAACTAATTTATTGTAATCTTTTTTAAATTGTAATTTTAAATTTAAAGCTTCGTGTTATAGATTACTTTGATTCTTAAATTGTGTCTAGCGTTTAAATATATTTATGGGTAGTTTCATGCTTTCACTTAGTTTTGGTTATTGGGATAAAAGCCATGACAACATTTTTGTTATAAATTTATCTTAATTTAATTTTTATTGAAAATTTTGTTATAAATAAAATTTATCTTTAATATTGTTAATACTTTTGCTCTTTGAAAAAAAAAAAATGTTTCTGGCTCATCAATAAATATAAAATAATTTGTCTTGCATGAATGAATTTTGGTTTAGGATTTAATTGTGTTAGTTTATGTTTGTCTATCTGTAATTTATTTAGGTTATTAGAAAATTCATGTTTACAGAGTTGTTATTAATCATAATCGAGTTGTTAAACAAAGGAAATTGTGGAGGTTTATTTATCATATATACTATATATATATTATATAATTATATTGGAGGGAGTAAGTTTAGAAGCATTTTTAAATTTTTAAAGAAATAAAAATACTTTTCAATATATATCTGTTTTCTTTGAGGTAGAAATAAAGTTTCAGTTTTTTAAAACTTTAAATTAACTTTACAATGTTAAAATGGTTTAAACGAACTTAAACGAATTTTTGTAAATGAATTTAATCCTCAAAGACTAAATTTTTTTTATTATTGAAGAAATTAAACTAGATTTAAGAATGAGTCGACTTGAATGTTTGTTTGTTTTTCTATTTAGATGATGAAAATATTGAAGCAAGTAAATTGAAAAGCATTTTTAAATTTTTAAAAAGAAATAAAAAATACTTTTCAATATATATCTGTTTTCTTTGAGGTAGATTTAAAGTTTCAGGTTTTTAAAATCATATATATTTTAAAATCATATATATAAATCATATATCTTTGTTTTTCTATTTAGACGTTGGTAATAATATGAAACAAGAAAGTTATAAAGCATTTTTAAATTTTTAAAAAGAAATAAAAATACTATTTATTATATATCGGTTTTCTTGGAGGTAGATTTAAAATTTCAGGTTTTTTAAATCATATATATTATAAGATTTAAGAATGAGTCGACTTGAATGTTTGTTTGTTTTTCTATTTAGACGTTGGTGATAATATCGAAACAAGTAAGTTATAAAGCATTTTTAAATTTTAAAAAAAAAATAAAAATACTTTTCAATATATATCTGTTTTCTTCGAGGTAGATTTAAAATTTCAGGTTTTTAAAATCATATATATTATAATATTAAATTCTTTTTTACTTTAAAAATATCTATATTATAGTTACAGTGAGTCGTAGAAAAAAAATTAAAGTTTATTAATAAGGTAGTAGATTATTAGAGTAGATTAAATTGTTTGATCTATTAATCAACTTAATAACGTACTATTAATATGAAGGTTTATTTTGGTTGTTTGTTTGTTAAAATTTAGTTAGAGTTTATTTTAAATTTAAATTCTTTAGTTAATCAAGAGAGATCTAACAAAGTTATTAATGACATTAGTTGAATGTGGCATTTAATATGTATTTTATCGATATTTTAACATCTAAACATTAAAGTGCTTTTATTGTTTTAATACAGAAGTGAAGAAGGAAATAAGTCAGTGTTTTTGCTATTAGATATTAGTTTATAGGAATTTGTTTATTTGTACTGCCACTGGAATTTTTAAAAATCAAGTTCTTTAGCTTAATTTTATACTTTCTTTTTTTGGAAGTTGGAACAAAAACTAAGTATAAATTATGATTAGTTTAGTTTATTAAATAAGGCATTAATATTTAGAAGATTAATGTTTACTTTAGTTTATAGTTTTGGTTTAGTTTATAGTTTTGTTTTTAGTTTTAGTTATTTTTTTCTTAGACAACTTTATGGATGAAATGAGGGGGATGGGTAAAACAATTATTTAGATATGTATATATTTATATGTTAACATTATTTTATTGGTTATTTTATATTTATTTAAGTATATATTTGTCTTTAGTCTCTGGTGGAAGTATAGCTGGTAGGGCTGTGTTTTATATTTTATATGTTTTGTATGGAGAAATATGTGCAATAGGTGGAAAAATTAATTAATAAATATGAAACTTTTGAACTGGTTGCATTATTGCCCTATATATTTATTAAAATACAAAATGTTGCATGTTTAACCTTTTTTAATTTGCTCTCTCTTTTTTTTTTTTAGCATCTTTTGTTTCAAATGAAAATGGTGAGTTTATGCTATTTTTTTTTTAAATAATTACAAATGTATAATTTTTATTATATTCTTCTATTTGCAACTTTATATTTCTTATCATTCGAAGAATACAAAAATTACCGCTCCCAACACCCGGGACCTCTCTCAGAGAGGTCCTTCAAAAAATGGAAAGATCATGGTGGAATGGATAAACCCTCCTTTAAATGGAGGGCTCATCCATACCGGGGTGTTGGGAAACACCGAAGAAAAAACAGTATCCAAAAGGTTGTAAATGTCTTTTATCAGTAGAGTTATTTACTTTTTAGTTGCTGCTTTTTCTTCGGTTTTTTTTTTTTTTTTAATTTTGTAATTTTTTGTTTCGGTGTTTTTCCTTTTAATTTTGTAATTTTTTTTTTAAATATATATTGCGTTGTATATTTGATTTGTTTTGATCTTTTTTAATGAAAATTTTAATTGTTTTCTCACCAATTAAACCTGACTTCAAATCTAAAGCCCTCTTAAATACCCCTCCCTAAAATCTAAAGTCGAAAGTTGAATTGATTCATTATCTAATTATCATAATATAATGATGCTGCATTCTTTTGTTAAAAACAATTATTTGGTATGTTTTATTTAATGAACTCACTACTTTTAAAATTTACCAAAACCAAAGGCAATATATTTAGCTATATAAATACAATTTATTTATCTCGATTCCATTCTTCATCTTTTATGTTTATAGTTTGGCTCCTTGAAGCATTTTATGTTTTGCTTTTTTTATTATGAGTATTTTAAATCCGTTGTGATGTCTTTTAAATTTACTAAAAGCCAACATAAAAATTACGTTTTTGAACAACACCAAAAAGAACAACTGCATCCCTACAGCAACTGCTGCAGTATCACAATAGGTTGCCAAAAGCAGGTATACTGTTTTCCAGTTGTTTTTTTTGTTTTTTTCATATATATCTACTTATCTATATAATACTATAGTACTATTGTTTATATCTCATTCATTTTTTCTTTTTCTTTAAGTGTCAATAATTTTATTCTTTGAATGAGATTAGTTAAACAAGTCGGCTTTCCAATTCAAGATATTGGTTTCAAAATTGAACACCATTGGCAAAACGCTTACATAATTAGGTAGTTTTTAAAAATCTGTTTTCTATTTAATACACTTTTTTTTAAATATACTTTTTTAATAAACTTTTCTATAACAATCCTACTAATATGGAATCACGTAGCTTTCTAAATATGTTTAATTGTCGTCCCTATCGGTAATAAATATTTTAAATTATTTGATATGGTTTTCTTTACAATAGGCTATGCTTGGCTCCTCGGTGCTGCAAATGTTGGCTTCAACTTAGTTTTTTTAAGAAAAATGTGTTTTATATATGCTTCTGTTTTAAAATATTTTTGTTACATATTAAACTATATATCATGTAAATAAATTTCTTTTAAAGATATGTAAACTTGATACTTGCTTTTTTACGGATTTTCAAAAAGTTAACAAAGCTTTAAATATATTTTTTAACTGTCTTATATGATTTTATTAATTTTATTAAAGCTGAATAATTACTTCAAAAATATTGAGTAAAATCCAATTGCTTTTATTATTAACCTGATCGATACAAAAATTAATGAAATAAAAATAATAATTTAACGCCAAGTTAAGGCAAAATGTATTCCGGACATTTTATAAAATTAGTATAAATATGGATGGATGTATGCTGAAATAAATATGTTGATACACGTTAGCTATTAAAGTAAATCCATATATTCCTTTATTATTTTTTTATAAACAAGTTTCTGCTGGATTACTATTTAAAAAAAGGTTGGTTTAATAATAATGTTTATAATAATAATTTAGGATCCGTATGCAGGGCTAAGCCCTTTCCGGAAATGCGATATATTTTTCAACTTATAGTTTTTCCGGATATCCAACTTCTATGCCTACAAGTTTTGGTGTATTATTTTAGATGTTTTAAAAATATTTAAAAAGTACATTAATAACACTAAAAAGTTTAGGTGCGATAGTGACATATTTTTAAGCTCTTCACTCAGTAAAATGAAAAGGTAAAAAAAAAGAAACAACTCAGCTTAAAGCAAAATTGAGAGTAGAATATATTCCCAATATTTACCTAAACAATTTTACGGAATTTAAAAATTTGACATCGATGGTCTGTGCATATAATTCAAGTCATTTTTAATTACTACATGGTTGTGATATGCGCATTCAATGTTTGAACATTGCAAAAGAAATGGTTAACTTTATCTTTAATGAAGCTAAAAGTTCTCTTAAACTAAGAAGCCAAGAAAAATAAAAGTGAGCTCAACTAAAAAAATGTATAAATAAATTTATATTTCACTAGAGAAAGTAAATAAAGATCAAATTGTTAGTAATTTTTTATTTACTACTAACCCGTATTACGGGTTGCTTACTGTATAAATAAATTTATATTTTATTAGAGAAAGTAAATAAATATCAAATTTTTAGTAATGATTTATCTACTATTAACCCGTATTACGGGTTGCTTACTGTATAAATAAATTTATATTTTATTAGAGAAAGTAAATAAATATCAAATTTTTAGTAATGATTTATCTACTACTAACCCGTATTACGGGTTGCTTACTGCTAGTAGATATTATTATAAACATTTCGTTTAAAAATGTTTCAATACCAGAAGAACTAGTACACAGAATTATCTGAGGCACTATACATAACATGAATGCAACTACTTTTGATAAATGCAAAAGAAGGCCAGCAATGCAGGAGTTTATTGAAAAGTCAAATTCAATAGTCTTAACATATCCATCATTGGCAGACGCAGAAACATCTCATGTATTTTTTTCCTCTTATTAATACAAATTAAAAATAATAGATCGTAGTAATTTTTAAGTAGTTAAAAAATTATGTTTATCAAATATTTTAACAATTTACAATTTACTTGTTAAGTAAATTGTTATTGTTAAAATATTTAAATGGCTAAGTAAATTGTAAATACTTTACTTACTTAATTAAGTAAGTAAAGTATTTAGAATTTACTTAGCCATTTAAATATTTTAACAATAACAATTTACTTAACAAGTAAATTGTAAATTGTTAAAATATTTAATAAACATAATTTTTTAACTACTTAAAAATTACTACGATCTATTATTTTTAATTTGTATTAATAAGAGGAAAAAGTAGTTTAATTAAACTACTAAGCACTACTTAGCGGGACAGCTCCTCAAGGAACTGATTATTTTCAAGTTTTATTCCAATTTTTATTTTCCAATTTTGATATGCTAATTAAACTGTTTTAGGCAAAAACTTTTTATATTTTGAGGAAAAATTTGACAATTCGAATTCTGCAGTGCCTAATTCGGATTCTTATTCCGAGCGCTGTAAACAATATTTATAACCATTATATATTTTTTATTTTTCAGATAATAAAAGAAGTGAAAAGCATATTGAACCTATCTGAAGGTGCTGAGCCTAACAGTTTTATGAGTGACTTGACTTAGCGTTTAGAAAAAGAAACTATAATTTAGTTATAATTCTCAAAAAAAGCCTCCAAAATTGCGAAAATTATGTAAGTTCATAAATGCTCATAAAAACTTTATTTGTTTCCTGTGAGAAGTTTTCTTCGCTTTTTTAAATGTTCCATGTGGATAGGCACATAACCTATCCACATAGAACATTTAAAGAATAAGTAATTTTATTTTTTTGAAAATAAGGTCAGGGAAATGAAATGAGAAAAGAAGAAACAAACTCAATAAAAATTCTCCCATTGCTGAGAGAGAAACATAAAACTTGTTTTTCACCCTTATGCTACTTTGTCATTTATCTTAGAAGTTCAAGTATTTAATCATCATTAAAGGAATACTCAGGCTAGCTCGTACTCGATGTACTCAATGTACTCGATGTATTCGATATATTCGATGTACTCGATGTATTCGATGTACTCGATGTATTCGATGTACTCGTACTCGATGTACTCGATGAGCCATCTACCTTTCATCTTCTTGGATTAACTCTTACTTCTGATCTTTCTTGGAAACCTTATATCAAATCCGTTGCAAAATTAGCATCTGCTAAAGTTGCATCTCTTTATCGAGCTCGACACTTTCTTACTCTAGATTCTATTCTCTATTAATCTTAAATCCGGCCTTGAATATAATACTGTTGCCATATCTGGGACGGATCTTCTAATGATGCCGTTTCTCTTTTAAACAAGGTGCAAAAACGCATTGTAAACATAGTTGGACCTGCTCTTGCTGCCAACCTTCAACAATTGTCACATCGTCGTAGTGTTGCTTATCTCTCTCTTTTCTACATATACTTTAATGGGCACTGCTCTAAAGAGCTAGTGTCTCTTGTGCCATTTACTAAAATTCATTCCCGTGTTATTCGTCATTCAGTTAAGTCTCATCCTTTTTCTGTGACTGTTCCTAAGTGCTCCAAAAACTCTTATTCCTCTTGTTTTTTCCTCGAACATCAGTTCTTTGGAATTCGCTTCCTTCATCTTGCTTTCCTGATTCATATAATTTGCAATCTTAAGTCGTCTGTCAATCGTTATCTTGCTATACAATCTTCATCTTTTCTCTTCCAGTAACTTCCAACACTAATTAGTGGTTGCTTGCAGCCTTTTTGGAAGCGAAGATGTTTATAAACAAAAAAAAAAAAAAAAAAGCTACCCAGCAAAAACTGCACGTACAATATTTAGTTTTATGGCTAACTTTTCGTAGATATTTTTTTTTTAGTTGTTAAATGCGTGCGCCATTTTGTATTTTATCTCAAAAATAATATAAAAATCTAAATAATAAAAACTCGCGGTTTCATAAAGAGTTGTTAGATTGTATGTTATTAATTAAATTATTATTTCTTAAATAGATTACTTCTTTTATATTTTTTTAACGAGTTGATTTGAACGAGACGTGAACTTCCTGTTAAATGCTCTCCCGTTGTGCTCTATGATAAGACCGTAAAGACTTCTGGGAGCACCTAAATACATTAAAAAAAAAAAAAAAAAAAAAAAAATTATATTATATTTCAGTCCAAAATTTGTAAAAAGCTTAAATAAACAATATTACAAAGTAATAAATATTTTTTATCAACAATATTGTTGAATAAAAATACTTTAAGTAATCAATACTTTTTACAAATTTTATTTTTATTGCCACAGTCATTATGAAAATTAATTTTTTTTTACATTTTATTTCTTTCAAAAGCATTTTTCTTCGTTACTACTACATAGTTATTACATACAATGACAATATAGATTTTTATGTATTATTATAGACATTATAATAGGAATGTGGACTGATTTTTTTAAATTAACTGAATA